TTATGCGCCGTGCTTTTCTGAAGAAAGAATTACAATATCAACAACAAAAATCTACGAATATATGCTAACTACAATCGATCTCAATAAAAAATACAACTAAGATAGAATAATTGGTGTTTTTAATTTATTAAAATAACATGCCATATTTTTATTAATTTACTTTTCATACGTTTCACTATGTAATTTACATTGAATACTTAAGAAAAAATATTATAGTTTAATTTTTTATACATAGCATAACTACTGATGTTATAGAAGTCAAATTGAGTCGAATGCGTAGTGTACGAACTCATGCTCAGTTGATAAACACACACGTTTGGCTCAGATCATTTAATAAATTAAATGTCTTTGAATCAGTTCCACTGTTTGATTTAGATTTTCATTTTATATTTTATTATAGGAATAAGTCTAAATTGAATTTTTTTGAAAGAAACTAAGTTGTTTTATTTGATAGCTCGGTTTTAGCATTAGACAATTGGGCTTGTTTGGTTAATAGCATTTTGCCCAAAAATTAGCTTTTCGATCCATATAACTGTTTGACTTTTCCAAATCCACTAAAAAGGTTGTTTGGTAAAATAGCTTTTGCATCAGCTTTTTTTGGCCCAACAACTGAAAAGAAAAATGCTACTAAGTCGAGCGTTTCGTATAAGCGTTTTGAGGAGAAAACATATTTGGTCACAATTACCCCTTTTTTTTTCATCACTTTTGGACTTCTTGCCCGCAGCAGAAATAAAGAACAAAACATTTCATCACTTTTTAACTAGTTATGACTTATTTATTCGCTTAATTTTTATGATGCAAACTTATTTGTTCTTTTCTATGATGCAGACTTATTTATTCAATTAAGAAGTGTTGTTATTTTAATTATTATTTGTGTTTGTTTTTGTATTAATTTGAATTACTTTACAATATATAAAATATGAATAATTTGTATTTATTAAGTAATTACAAATTTAACACTAAAAAGAAATTAAGGTTTATGAATGTCCTTTTAAGTAATTTTGCATTTTAACAGCTATTTGCAAACAACTAATTTACCAAACAATTTATAACAAACGGCTAACACAACCCGCTTGTCAAAACAGCTGACACAATCCGCTAGTCAAAATAGCTGACATAATCCGCTAACAGCTAACACCTAACCGATTACCAAACAAGGGATTTCCTTTTTTCTTTTTCTTCTTGTTCGTGGTCCTATTTAATCACCATTAATTTCTACTACGTTACCTGTCTCCATATCACAAACACCGAAAAATTTACAGAAACGAATCTCAGCGCTAAACATCCCACAAATGGCGCCACTGCTCAAGTAATGGCTCTCCTTAACACCATCATCAATTCCAAGACTTCCCATTTTATTCTCCCCTTCACAATCGGACGCAACACGAAAAGAAACAAAAAAAAAAAGAAGTTCAAAAATCAATCGACCAATAAAAAATCACTAATTTCTTTACGTTGAAATATTCACCCAATCACACCTCCGATCATAGTTCCCGGCGACTCTCCGGCCGGGGCTCCGACTCCCGGAGCCCGAAACCCAATAATCACAATGCAGGAGGAAATCTTCACCGACGACGACTTTAGCGACCCGGAGGTCGAGGAGGAGGAGGAGGAGGAAGTAGATGACCCAGAAGAGCAAGAACATCAAGGACCCGACCCGGACCCGATTAAAAGATCCAGAAGCAAAGCCCTGCTCGAATTCCGCTTCCGAGTCGAGGAAGCCATAGTTGGAGACTACCTGTTTGCGAAAAGTCCCAAACGAAATCTCCCCAGAGAAAACGCCAGCCTTTGGGGGATCCCACTTTTTCCTAGCGCCGGCCACCCTGGCACCGACATTGTCCTCACGAAGTTCCTCAAAGCTAACCGGTATAAGGTTCACGAGGCCTTCACGTCCCTCCGCAAGGCCCTGACATGGCGGGCCGAGTTCTGGGCCCACGAGAAGCCCGGAGAGGATCCCCTGTTGAGGCCCGAGACTAGCGGCCTTTGGTTTTCCAGCGGTAGGGACAAAGAGGGTCGGCCTCTGTGCTACAGCATTTGGGGCAAAGAGTCACAGAATGCAAACTTGGCCTGTGCTGGCGGGAGGTACAGTCAGCAGTATCTGAGGTGGAGGGTGATGTTTGTGGAGAGGGGGATACGGAGCCTCGATTTCAGGCCCGGAGAGGCCCACTCGATCGTGCAGATCATTGATCTGGAGAACTCGATGAAGCTTGCGAAGAAGGAGGTGAAGATGATCTACAGGAAGATGATTAGCTTGCTTCATAATTGTTATCCGGGCATCGTCTATAAGAACGTGAGTTTCGAGGCAATTTTTTCTGCGTTGTTGGCCTCTAATTTTTCAAGATTTTTTCGGGGTTATCTTTGGTTTTTATGGGAGTATGAAGATTGGCAGGAAATTTTGTATGAGTTTAGTGGGGACATGATAAGATCGGAATTTTCTTGATTCTCATGCCACATGTATAAAGTTTTCGTTGAACTTTTGATATTTTCAGGCGACTTGAGGATTAAATATCGAATTTTTTTAATGATGCAAATGGGTCTTATGAGTTATGAGATGTGCATAATTGAGGCTTGATTAAGTTTCTTTTTTTTTTTTTCCTTGGAAGTATTAAAATCAGTTATAGTTGCTGATATTTTTTCATGGATGCAGTTAATCATCAATGTGCCATCATGGTTTATGACCTTCAACGCTATCAACCTGCGGCTCCTCACGCAAAAGAGTAGGAACAAGTTTATTTTCGTCAAGCCGTCAAAAGTCACTGAGACCCTTCTCAAGTAATTATGATTTTATTACTTGTCTGAATTTATCTTGTTTCTTATGCATATAGATCTTTCCTTTTCGTCAGTTTGTTTTTTAATGGTTTCACAATCTTCGACGATTATTAAGCTCGTTTGGAAAAACGTAGGTATGCCACGCCTGAAAACATTCTAGTCCAATATGGAGGCTTAAGAAGGGAAAATGACACTGAATTCTCGACGGATGATAAAGTTCTTGAAGTGAATATCAGAGGAAGTTGGATAGAATACATTCAGATTCCTGTTAATGAGGCATGTCAATGATTTATGCTGTTAGAAAAAGACATGTTTTGAGAATATGCTTCGCCTTGCTTTGTTTTTCTATGGTATAAGTATAATTCACAAAAAATTTAAATTATCCAAAACTACAAATACTCCTCGGGTTTGTAGAACATGAAATTATTTTATTGTTGACTTGTGTTTATAAATTCTACAAAAGTTTTCCCGCTCTTTCTTTCGAAACTAACCATTGTTCTGCTCCGAGTGATTAGATTTTGGGCCTCTCCTTATGAGTGTATCATCATTTATTTCAAATGTAAATTAACTTTGGATTTTTTTTTTTTTCCTAAAATTTGTGCAGGCTGGGTTTACTGTAACTTGGGATGTAACCGTGGTTGGATACGATGTTTTGTACAAAGAAGAATTTATACCTGATGACGATTGCTCGTACAGAATCTTGCTGCAGGAGAAGAAAATGGGAGAGAGCATAAGAAACTCATTTCACGTAAGGGAGCCCGGGAAAATCCTCATGACCATAATCAACAGCTCGTACACGAAGAAGAAGGCTTTCTATAGGTATAAAACCAGACCCACTGTACCTATGTATGTGTCATCAAGCAACAAGCTTTTTGTGACCCCAAACCCCATTTTCGAGTTGCTGTGAATACTTTTGTTGTTATTTTTTAAGAGCAAATATTTAGATCATTTTGTGTTTTCCAAAGGATCATCAAGATGGTTTCTGGATGTGTGATCAAGTTTTGCTATGTAAGAGTTGACAACAAAAGCTTAGGCAAATTCTTATCATATATTCATCTGATTTTTGCTCTCTCTCTCTCTCTCTAACATTTATCAGGTCATTCTGTTATTATGTATCAGGTCATTCTTATCCTATGAATTTGTTATCTTAAGCTTTCAACCAATCAACCTGAAGTTCTCATTAGGGTTGTAAACGAATCGAATCAAAGCGAATACTCAGAGATTCGATTCGGATTCGTTAAAATATTCGAAGATTCGAATTCGTAAGCGATTCGTTAACGAACTCATATTTTTATTCGTATTCGATTCGTTTAGAATATTCGAACATATTCGATTTGATTTGAAATTCGTTTTCAAAAAAAAATAATAATAATTAAAAAATAATAATTACAAAAAATAATTTTTATTTTTCATATATTTTTAGGAAAATTTGTTAATTTATGATGATTTTACTTTTTATGTCATAAAAATAGTAGGAATATAACAATATATATATATACATATATATTATAAAAAAAATGTATACTACATATAATTTATTAAATTATATAATTATTGTTAACGAATCGAATATTCGAATTTCGAATCGAATATCTACAAATTCGAATTCGGATTCGTTTAACTTTCGAATATAAAACATTATTCGTATTCGAATATTTCGAATTCGAATCACGAATATCGAATAGAATCAAAAAAATTTGAATATAACAATATATATATACATATATATTATAAAAAAAATGTATACTACATATAATTTATTAAATTTATATAATTATTGTTAACGAATCGAATATTCGAATTTCGAATCGAATATCTACAAATTCGAATTCGGATTCGTTTAACTTTCGAATATAAAACATTATTCGTATTCGAATATTTCGAATTCGAATCACGAATATCGAATTCGAATATCGAATAGAATCAAAAAAATTTGATTTGTTTACAAGCCTAGTTCTCATTGTATCATAGAACTGTAAATCTAAATGCACAACACACATTGAGACCAAAAGAGACACTTACAAGTTACATCAAAAGCAAAAAGCCAGGAGGAGACTCTTATTAATTTCCACAAACATCACCATCACCACTCAACCACATGAGCAGCAATCCCTACTCCCACATTATTTTCCCACACACACCAAACACTAAAACACTCAGAAAAAACTTAGATTTCCCCTTACACAACACTTTACAAGCTTAACAGGCAGCACAACCATTACCATTACCACTAACATCACCAACACATAAACCCACCTAATAATACTGCCTCCCACCTGGAGACAACAAGTAGCTCTGCCCTCCCCTATTGTTCTTCAGCCCTTGTGCCTGCTCGCTCGATATCTGGTAAGCGTTCGTAAGCACGCCAACTGGCATGGCCCGAATAACCGATGTGTAGCCCGCCGCCTGGTTCCTCATGGGCCAGCCCGATGTCTTGAAGCCCACCCATTCGAACCCGTTATTACCCGCTCGAGCCGTGGACGCGTAATATTGAGGAACCACAAACATGTCCCCTTCATTCACCCGATCGTTCATAACGGCTTGACCATTGTGGCTCACGATCTCCACCTTCGCATCACCCTTAGTCACGTACACGATCGTGTGCCCGATCATGGCCCAATCAGGACTCAACATCGCATTCTGCATCAAAACAACAAAAACAATTTTTTAGAAAAATGTTTAATTGCAAAATATAGCCAATATCTTATCTTAGCCACCATCTTTACGAATTGGCAATATTAGCCAACAACTTTCAAAATTTTGAGGTAATATTATTACCCATGTCCGACCAAATTCGATGGCTATTGTTGCACTTGCGTAAAAAGATACTGAAGATACTGGCTATATTTTGCAATTTATTTGCCGAATTTGGTCGGATTTCGGCTATATTTTACAATTTAATATTAGAAAAACATCAAAATATCATGAACTCACGAAATGCTCGGAAAATTACCGGGTAGAGTTTGCCTTTCTCTGCGCTCATGTCAATGTATTGGAGGATGGGGAGCTTGTGGCGGTCAACCGTGTTGACTTTCCCAGCCTGTCGGGAGTAGATGTCGGCATCCTTGCGGTTCTCGATGTTGGTGCGGATTTTCATGGTGCAGAAAGTCTCCTCGAGGCCGTTATCCGACTGTCTCGGGCCGTACTTGTATTGTTGTTCCTCCTCCTCTTCCTCCTCGTCGGGCCTGATGAAGCTCATGCGCTCGCGGGCCATGACGATAAGCCCGCGATCCTTCTCCTTCTCCTCGGCCTGCATGCGCTCGATAATGTCTGGGGACACGTTGAAGGCCTCGGCCATGATGTTCGAGTCAAAAGCCCGGAATATGTTTTGGAACGTCTGTTGGGCCTCTTCGCCTTGCTGCTGCTCGCTTCTCGGTACTCCTCCCGCCA